CTTGGCATCGCCTCTAAGCTAAAAGGCTGCCTCCAAGCTTTTGTTTCAATTAAAACATTCATCTGCCCCTACATGTCATCCACTTTCTTAAGTCTCCCAACTAAAGAGTGAATCATATATCAACTTGATTATTGTTTTTGTGGGACCGTTGTAGAGGCTGCACTCAAATGCCATACATTGCAACATTTTTGACTAACCTTAGAGGCAGCAATGTGGACCCCAACTTAGAGGCAATGCTGCCTCCAACCATTGTGGATGCCCTAAGAGCAGGTTAATAGTACAACCAACTGCTGGCTATAAGATGTTGCCATAGCATCTATAGTCAACACATATAGTCACTCGTACAACAAGGTTAGCTATAAGGTTGGCTATAGATTAGTACTACCTCTGTCCTGATTTACTAATTACTACTCCCTCTGTTCAGGAGGATAAGTCATCTTAGGTTGTGCACCATGATCAAGGCAGAGGGGAAAACGAGAAAACTTAATGTATTTGCTAATTAAAAGCATTGCATGTAATGAACTGACCACTTCATGTCGTGTTTGGTAGTCTCAAGCCATTGAAAGCATGCACGCCCACATCTCTTGGTATTTTGTAGTATCAAATTTGACCATAGATTTAACTAACAAAATATTAATGCATGTCACTAAAAATTATATCGTTGGATTCATATTTGAACTTAATTTCCAATGGTATAATTTCTAGTGACATGCATTGACATTTTCTTACGTAAATCTATGATCAAAATTTTACACTAAATACGAAGGGGCCTATGAACTAGTAAGATGGATACAATAGTGGGCTATAAGCCCTTTTTGTTGTTGTTGTAGCCAAGGCTAGTCATAGTGGGAAGTGGGATAAACTTTGTTCTTAGTTGAGGGAAATACTTATCTCTATTGTAATGTATCATCCTCTCCTCTTCGAGGAAATCCCAACGCAGTTCACAAGTAGCACTAAACGAGAAGCTCCTCCGAGAGAAAGGAAGTAACCCCACCGCAAGCCCTGAAGGAGCAAACAACACGACACCCCCAACACTGCCAAATCCACAAGAGCAGCAACCCCGTAAATGCATGGCAGCGAGCTTTCCCAAATGACATGAGAAGGGTCAATATGATAACGGAGGAGAACATGCCAAGGCGACACCGATGTCAGCGACACCACACGCGCCCCAGAGGCACTCCAGGTTCCTTGAATGGTCGGAACAAATGATATCCTTCAGCCACGAGGACCATCCAGAGCTCTTCTGCAACCCGGGAAGACTGCCCATGGTCATAGAGCCACTCATCGGGGGATGCAAGTTTCCCAAAGTCCTCAGGATGGGGGCTTCAGAATCAACATTCTTTACAAAGCATGCTACAAAGGATGGACATACCGCTGGACGCCCTACCACATTCCACGACAGAATTTCGAGACATAGTTCCGGGGAAAAATGTCGCACCAATAGGAGAAATCACACTAGAGATCTCCTTCGGCACACCCTTCCACTAAAGATGCGAGCTCATACCCTTCGAGGCCCTCCCTTCACAGGCGAGTATGACGTGGTGCTCGGGCGACCAACCTTCGCAAAGTTCATGGCAATATCGAACTACGTGTATATGCAACTGAAGATACCAAGGCCCCATGACATCATAACCATCTGCAGGTGCCCCTCACATGCGCTACTGGCGGAAAGGATACAACTCGTAGAGGACCAGGCCCTAGCGGGAGGTCAAGCAGAAACAGACAAAGCGCCCCCAGCCCAGCCATACCGCTGAGAGAACTGGGGTCAAAGACCCCTAGCAGAACCAGAGTTCATCATGGTCCCTGACCACCCAGAGTTTTGGCAGGAACTAGCAGCAAGGCGACTATGCACTTATTGGTAGAACATGTCCATCGTCAAGTCAAGACAGAGGCCGGACACAATGGAGGACGCCAAGTCATCCACCGCGCAACTATCTTAGTAACTTTACATTCCTGTATTTTCATTACAACATGAATATCAATAAGACTTCGTGTAATAATCATATTAGCTCGATCATGTCTTAAAACAGTCAATCAAAGTGATTTGACATGCAAACACTTTTGTTCTAATGCACAGATATGATCGCTAAATGGAGTACACAAAGAAGTTAATACTGCAAACTCCGAGGACATGTTTGTGGATGGTTAAGAGACCTCATTATTACGTGACTCGGGGCAGCATCGTATTTTGGACTCCCCGCGGCTCCACGTAAGGACTGCGTCCAACAACCCAGCAAATAAAAGTACACTGGCCTTTGTTGTATAAAAACAAAAAACAGATGGCCGTAGGCTTAGGCTACCTTGACGGTCGAGGCATGACAATCTTAACGAATGTAGAGAACCGGCCCAGAGCCCGCAGCTAAGTCAGTGCAAAAGCGCACAGACATGCAAGTCGGGCTCACAAGGGTCCCTTATTCCTATAGACCAGCGCTAGCACGTGATTTATTTGGTTGAACAAAGAAGTTCTCCCAGCGGATATAAAGACATCACATGACACAACAATGACAGATCAAATTAAAAAACACAACAAAAACAGTACGACAAGCAGTACATCATAGTCTTGCATGAACAACTCCACTCTATAGGACTATCAGGCTTGGGATGCCTTTTAACAATGTTTTACGGGGGCACACTCCTCCAACATATTTAGCCTCTTCCGCGCCCTCCCCCAGAAATTATTGTGGGTTAGGAGTTCCAAATGGAGGCCTCACCAAGGACCACAAATTGACATTTGGATGGTGCACCCTCAATCTAGCGCGAACCTGGCGAGCTCCTTCCAAAGCCATAGAATAGATCCAGTCCTCCAGTTGCTCAGCGGACTCCCCGGGAAGCTCTAGGATAGTCCCAATGTCAGATTTGAGATGAGGGTTGTCGCGATACAAGGAGCGTTGTCCTCATCCTCTCAGCCACTGTTGCGACCTCTTGGAGTCGGATCTCCACATCATCATTCTGGATCTTAGGAAGGGGGGCTGCAAGACAGGCCACATAAAACATGTCAAAGAAAATCCAACCTAAAAAGGTGAAAAGACGCTCAAAAACAACGCCATGGCATGAACCCTTGGCAGCAGCTTCTAAGTTGGAGCAATTTTGTTGAGCCTCAGCGAGCTGTGTAGTCTTCTCCATGCTCTCCCTCTGGAGTCGGGCGTACTTCTGTTCAACATCATGAGTCGCATCGGCTTGCTGCGACAACTTCCTCTCCGCAGCCTCTAAATCGCGTTCCAGCAAGCCCAGGTGGTTTTTGTTCTTCTCAAGATCTTTACGAAGGGAATGACATGAATCATGCTCCTTCTGAAGGGTGACCTTCAGATCATGCTTGGAGGACAACGCCACCTCCAGCCGCTTCGTGGCGGCCTCCTCCGCTTGCCTACGAGCCTGAGAGGCCTCTTCTACCTCCATGCGGAGGGTTGCAGCCTCTCTAGGGGCTACACAAAGATAAACATGGCAAGGCCTTCTTTAGTTCAGACGAATCGATAACCGGGACTACACAAAGTACACTCCTACAACAAGCACTTACAGGATGCGCCATCCTTGGTGCGATGTAGATCATCAGCTTGCTGCTGGAGAGCTCCCAGCTGCCTCTCCAGCCCAGCAATCTAAGCAATGAGGTCGCGGTTCTCCTCAACAGGCCTCTGGACAAGCACAGATGGTTAGCTCATTCAACGAACATCCACTAGAAAAAAGGTATCTGGAACCAAGCATGGTTCTCAGACCTCCACCATACTTAGCCCCGGGGTTTACTACCACTACAAGAGGCAGACCAGACCTTGAAGCTGGGCTCCACAGAGAGCCCCGCCTCCTTTAGGACCGACCATAGGCGCTTCAGCGCCTCGTCGGCAGCTCCTAGTGGTGTTGCAACCTTCTGCAGGACTTTTGATGTGAAGCCCGCATGCAGGAACGAAGGGACCTCCCGTAGTGGGCTGGTCAATGGCGTGGCGGGTTGCCCCGCACTAATTTGAATGTTAGGATTCATTTACGTTGCGCTCTAATTGTTTGCAAAACCCTTTTGTTGAACTTCAAGGGATTACTTTCGTTCCAGCAGTCACTTAAGGATGAAAGGATAGGAATAGTCATATCGGTCGGGGCTTCTGTTAGATAGCGTACGTTCGCCATTTCTTCCTTTTTTTCAAGGATTGATAATGTTCGTAACATGACGTAGTGTAATCACTGGAACCAAAAGTAGGAGTGTATCACTCGGTGAAGAGTCAATAAAAGGTAAGAACCAAAAATGATACTAATATTGGTTCACTAGTTAGATTAGTAGATGCTAATTTCACTGAAAGATCTGATCTGTTCGAATTTTCTTTCATTTTCTTTAGGGTGAAAAAACTTCTCCTGTTGCTATGGAGAAGTCACTTAGGAAACTCGGATGAGGTGGAAAAGAAGTCAAAAGTGACACTTACAGGTCATACGACAATTGCTTCTTTTCCGCAACTACATACATATTTTCTTTAACAACTATCATACAAGCGCCTGCTTTGATTAGGTTTATTGTAAGTTTGTTTGAAACTCCGGAGTCTAGTCTACCAATGAATGCTATGGTGTGTCCTCCTCTCTAAGGTCTTGCTTAGATAATTGACTCCTACGACCCACACAGAGGGTTTTTCCCAACCATTCAGACCTCTCGGCTATTAAATAAACCCAAATGATAACGCATACACGTATGACACGAAGCAATTTCGCCCACACTTTTTTATGATAATTTTAATTATAAGAGGATGACAACTTTAGTTGTGAAGCATGTCTAACTTTCTGTTTGGATGACAAGTTTCAGTTTTTTTAAAACTTTTTTTTCTAGATGACAATTTTAATGTAAAAAAACGTCTACATCATGTGTGACAGTTATCGGTGTAGTAAATAAAAGATTTAAAACAGACTTCTCTCATCCCACGCCAAGGGACAGGGATCCACGGTCCGATTCTACTCCACGCGCCACGTAGTCTCGTGTTCAGACTACCACTGGTCCTGGCGAATTCCCCATCCGAACCCCGACTCCGGCCGCCATGAACTGCGTCCCCACCTTCTCCCGCCGCCACCGCCGCTGGATCGTCTGTGCGGGCGCTGCTGCTGGTGCTTACCTGATCTACCACCACCCAGCCGTCGCCGCCCGCTGCCGCCGCATCTCCCGCCTGGCCTCGGCTCTCTCGTCCCTCGCCGATGCCGTCGCCGCCGTCGCCTCCGACCTCGCGGCCTTTCTCCAATCTGGCTCGGACTCACTGCCTACCACTCTCACTCAACTATCCAAGCTTGCCTCCTCCCACGAGGCAACCGCCTCCGCCTCCGCGCTGTCCGGGGCCCTCACCGCCGGCGTGCTCCGCGGCTACGCCTCCGCCACCAATCCAGCTTCCGGAGGCGAGGTAGCGTTTTCGGATCGTCTTGTTGAGAAGCTGTTCTCCCCAGCCGGCGAGCGGCTCGTCTCAGCCGTGGCGGGCACCTTCGGGCGCGACATCGTCCTCGCCTGTTATTCTGTCCCAGCCGATCCTTCAGGATCGGCGGGATCATCGAGGGCGAGCTGGGTAGACGTGGTCACCAGTGGGAGTTGCCGTAGGGCGATCCGCAGCTGGGTGGAGGTCTTCACGGCCACCGCCGTGGGCGTCTTCATTGACAAGACCATCCACATCAACACCTACGATCAGATCTGCGCCGCTGCCACAAACCCGGCCTACGACTCCAAGCTGCAAAAGCTTCTGGTGGCACTCTGCAGTGCTTCCGTCGAGACGTTGGTGAAGACCTCCCACGGCGTACTCTCCAATGGCAATGGAAATGCTCACAGTGGCAATGGTGAGGTTGGGGAAGGATGGACAGAAACGGTCTCGAGTGCGCTTGCTGTTCCAAGCAACCGGAAGCTTGTTCTGGATCTGACGGGCAGGGCGACATTAGAGGCTGTGCGGTCTTTCCTTGAGTTCGTGCTGTGGAGGCTGCATGAGGCTGCAAGGGCTGGCGGTGATGCCACAGCGAGGGCTGGATTGTGTGCCTTGAGGTATATGAGCGAAAGGTCCATGGTTGTCGCTGCCATCTGCATAGTATTGTGCTTGCATGTGTTGAACCGCACATGGCTCTTGGCACCGGCTTGAGCTTGAGCTTTAGTACTTGGGTAGAGAATATACTGAAACTGAAGTTCAGAAAGGGGAAGGGCAACAGAAACAATAAGTTTGGTCACTTGTAAATATATTTGTTGTGTAACAATTTAACCCTGCATACAGTTTATAGTAATTTCTGGCAATGTAACTTTGCCTGCTTATTTCTAATTCTGTTGGTCAGTTATATTTCCTCTGTGTAAATATGTGATTGTGGTGAGATGGTGATTCTATTGTGTTACAATACAGTAGCAAATTTTATAATCTGCTCGGATCAGCAAGGGCTACCAATTGTTTCAGCTTACTTAATACAGTAGTGCAATTTTAAAATCTGCTCGGATCAGCAAGTTAAGTTTTCAACGGAAGTTTAGAAGATTTTGATCGTCTAGGTAATCTCACCTGTAGATCTGTTTTATCCAATTGCTTGCTCAACTTGCTTATCCGTTTTCTGTTTTGGATAGGCGCTCTTGCATTGTACTCCCTCCGTCCCATAATATAAGAGCGTTTTTGATGTCAAAAACGCTCTTATATTTAGGGACAGAGGGAGTAGTTGTTATGGTTGTGGGTGGGGTGGAGTTCTCGCTACGCTCGTTGTTTGCAACGTGTTGTAGTCGTCTTGTATTTGTAATTCTCTCTTCTTCTATAAAGCTATGGTATGCAATTTGCGTACTCTCGGAAAAAAAACTTGCTTATCCGTATTGACATCCAATGTTCTTTTTTGTGTGTGCCAACAGATTGATCGAGTAAATATCGGTATAGATTTTGCGTTTCTTCATTTACTCTGTATGTACTGAAGAATCACTGATGAACAATCAGACAAAGGTGTTAATGCTTCATGGCCTGCCTCTAGTTCGCCTTTTGAGGAATTCTTCTGTTTCATCACGTATTTAAACTTATAAGGATGCTAGCCGACCCTCCTCCACGGAGCTTCTCCCGTGCGCATCGATCGTGGCCGTTGGATGGTGTTTGACTTTTGCTACTGGTTGTTGGATCGGTTGACTGCATGGTAAATTTTGTTACTTTTTTTCTGTTTTTTCTGGTTGGATGACTTGTGGACCTTCTGTCTGTGTGATTCGGTTGATTCATTGTGGGTATTTCCAAATCTTGTGTAAGTCAACCAGTACGGTGCGTGCGCGTGCCCGTGTATGAGTCGTCTGACTCGCACTGTGGCTGACGAAGCGAGTGCCACGCGCGGGAACCAGAGGACGTGCGAGAAGGGAGTGCCGCGGGAACAACGGGACGTGGGAGAGAGCGCCGCGCGCGTGAGGTCTTTCATCGTCCAATCCCCTCCTCCCGCCATGCAAACACTATCCCCTTCCCAGCAAACCCCGCAGCCGCCCTCCTTCTCCACCCCCTCCTCCCGCATCTGCTCCTTCCCCATGGCAACCCACGTCGGCCGAGCCCCAATGGCGAGGCGGCGGCTGGTCCGGGGCGGCTGAGCCCCAACGGCGCGGCAATGGCTGTTCCACGAGGCGAGGGCGCGGGCGTTGGGCGCTGGTCGCGTGGACAAGGAGGGAGGAGTCAACTTGAGGGAGGAGAGGAGAGACATGAGGGTTGGCAGCGATTGCAGGGAGAGGAAGAGGAGTCTGGAGGCAACGGACGATTTTTTGAGGGTGGTCGGCGACCTACAGGCAAACGGCAAGGACGGCGGCGCTTGATTTGGTGCGGCGCCATGAATCGGCCCCTGTTGATCAACGAGGTCGCTGGACTGCCTACATCCGTCCTCCATCGTGCAGTGCCTCCTGCGAGTGCCGCCTCGCTCCACCAACTTCGAGCGCCGTGGATCCATCGGGGATGGAGGGAAGCAAGTGGAGAAAGATGAAGGCTGCACAATACCGAGGCAGGCTCGACTCCTTTTCTCCCCTCTCTCAGTTTCTAAATTGTTAGATGGATTCTTATTGATCTCAGATGTTAGTTAGTGATTTTATTCTCTCCTTTCCATCGCATGGTATGATTCCTTTTTCTGAGATGAATTAGTAACTTCGTGTGGAGGTGGCAGCACAACCTGCAGGTTTGCCCACCACATGTTTGTTGTATTGCCTACCTCAAAGAGATTTAACTGCTTACAAAATTATTTTCTACTTGGTTGTTTTGCAGGTGATGATGTATGAGTTGGAATGGTTGGGTTTTGAGTGGTAGCTGATCCCTATGCCGGCGGTGGTAGCGGCCATCATTGATATACAACAATTCAGCAATTGTCTCGGGTGTGCTCCTGTTCTTACCACCACCCCTAGATGCTTAATTTTCGGAAAACTAATGATTTGGTTCTCGAATGTACATATGTAATCTAGGTTCTTCTTGACCTCTATGGCTGGCCTAAAATTGGTAATTCGGCATTGGCACACTTTACTCAAATCTATACTGCAAGCCCCAGGTGAATACCTTGTCTATTTGGTTTTTTTCATCATGAATGCTAATAACTTGTATTGTTCATGTTTTTGAATAATAATTGCATTAGTTGTCCTTTGTTTGTAACTTAGTTGAGTGTTTTGGTTGTAGATCGATTCAATTCTGGACAGAAACTTCTTTGTGAAAATGTGAAAGCTTGATTCATTCCTCTATGGGCTTCTCATGCCTCTATGGGCTGAAGCTGAAGGCTGTGCTGCTCTGTGTGTGGGTGGGTAGTCAGAGGAGGTTGCTGGTGGAAAGCCTCCTTCTGATGCTGACGCCTGAAGCAACCCTGTGAGGAGTGGTAGGTTGTTTGACTGTTGGCCATTTACTGCTCTAACCACCATCTGATTGCTGGCAACATTAGTTCTTGGTCTAGCCATCCTAGTTCTGTAGTTGGGAACAGCATTCTGATGTTTGAACTTGTCCATCACAAGTGTTTTGAGTGGAATGGTTATGTCCAATGGCAGCAGGATCTCCTCCAGTTCATGCCGCTCAAGATCTTCCTGGTCTCCAACTTGATAGACAACACTGCACCAATCTTTCACTGTCATACTTGACAACTTTCCCTACATAGTACGTGTTTGCAAACAGCTTTCTCACTTTCCGCTCTTCTAGCCATTTCCCAAAGCGATGGTCAACTCGAGATCACGAAGCATCTCTTACTGCAAGTTGTGAACCAGATGTGAATTCAGGAGGCAAGTCTGGGACACGATTGGTAATGATGGCAGGCTCTCTGGGTACTTTAACAATAGGTTCAGTGTATGGCTCTTGCATGCCCTTACTCCCCTCCATGACCTGATATTGCACCAATTTCTAGGATTTAACCAAAACAAACTAGAGCAGAAATAAAGTAGTTTCATCTATAAGATGAGTCATCATAAGCAAGAAAAGTCAAAAATAAGTCGCCATAAACCAAATACTTTCACAGCTACAATGCAGTATTTTGACGATCCAGGCATGTTGAAACATAAGAGATACCAACCAACACTTGGGATTTAGGAAGCATGGCACATCGCACCAGTGTTACAGGTATCATGTCATAATAGGCATCAGGTCTCAACACAGCAGTCTGGCACTTAGGTGAAGTACATATGTATTAAGGATATTATTTTTTCAATAACATGTGATGTGTTCTGATACATGGTGCGAAGTGTACAATATACTACTGTATCAAGAGATAAAAATCCCATTCCCCACTGGCCACTATCTACAAACAACATAGTAATGCAGCTACAGCATGCCTATTGTGTACAATGTCCAATGTATACAAACAACATGGCAATGCACGCTATCTCCACACATATCAACTGGACAGTAAAATGCCCACTGTACACATGCTTCAACTGAAAAACTGATTTTTTTAGAACAGCAGCCAATAGCATCAGCAGAACCACCCATCCATGGCACAACAGAACAGTAGCACAAGCAGCAGCACAACACCAGTAGCTCAAGCGGGAGCAGCTAGCACACGCACGAGAGTGGAAGAGGAGCTCATCGAGGCGGCTTCCGGTGATGAGGCAGATCCAGGTCGGCGGCCGGCCGGCTTTTGAGAGGAGGGAGAGGCGGGTCGTTGTCGAGGAGCGCGACATCCAGAGGAAGAGAGAGCGCTTCGGTGTCCCGCCTGGATGATCGTGCTTACCACCAAATTTTCAATGGCCTTCATTAGTCAATTTCTTCACAGAATGGCGTACTATACGTTTTCTTGTGTTTAATCAGCATGCTCGCATAAGTGGACTCACTATAAACACGTACGCGGGCATGGCGTATGGGGTGGCGGCCAGGACTTTGGCCATCAGCGCGAACTCGATGTTTTGTGGTCTGATTTCAGCTTGATTTTGTTTTGTTTCACTTGCTATCTGCAGCCTCTTAGACTCTAGGTAGAAAGTGTTTAAAAGAGTTGACTTGTTAGTTTCCTAAAAATTTCTTCCATGAAAGAATATGATTACGATCTTTAGGGTTGTTTTGTTGTTCCAAAGGCACATGGGAGTCTGCGGGAAAAAAGCTGACGATGTTTTCTCTTGGATATTAAGAAAAGGGAGACACTCGGCGATCTGGCTCTGCGGCAGGTATGCCTTTTGTGCCCCTCTATTTACTTACTTACTATCAGCATGGTTTAGTTTAGAGAGAACTACAGTACTTTGAGGCTACTGTATGTGGTGTGTTCCCTATTGTGCATGGAAGTTATTTTTCTGGGCATTATTCTACAAGGACCGTGTGTAACTACTTAGAAGCATGAAATAGCTATGTAGTCATCTGCCCAGCCAAGTACAAGGTAAAGTTCCTTCCTATAATAGTAGCCTTACATATTAAGGTAATGGCTTTCATTCTTCGGGATATAGGTGTTTCATGGTATGGTAGAAAGTATTGATTGTGAAGGATGGTTGCAACATCTGAGCAAATAGTTGGTTTGAACATTTTGTAGTTGTGATTTGCACTAGGAGTTGCTGGCCTTTTTCGTATCAGCTTCATCGTTGCCATACTTTTTTGGTAGATATTTAAACATAGCTCAGTACGTATCACACTCGCAAAGGGAGAGACAAAGCGTAGTTAGAGTCGCACAAGCTACTTGCTTCTTTCCTGAACAATTAGATTATGATATTAATGCA